CCCCCATCAAATTGAAAAAGGTTAGAGAAAAACGTACTGCGCCATGGTACAACAGTAATACCCACTCTCGCAAAAAAGAAACTCGTAGTCTTGAGCGCAAATGGAGAAAAACTAACTTGGAACTAACTTTAGAATTGCGTGGAAAACATATGTCCAGCTATAGACAGGCTCTAAAAGCTGCCAGGGCCAAGCATAACTCTCTTCAGTGCCTACTCATCAAGACACAAATAATACAAACAGCAGAAGAACATCTCTGATTTAAACATTCACTCATCAGACAAACCTACATGAGTCTCAAAGATGATCTTGTACACAAGCCACATCCTGATTCATATATACCCTCCTTCTTATACAAACACAACCAAATAGTGTTCACTATATTTACTGAACAAAGGGGAGATAATTAATTTAATGCTATTACACGTTTTTGTTCAAAATATTGCATGTATTTTCAAATTTACACTTGGATTTCCCAGGATTATGTGAATATATCAGTGTCATTAGCATCCGTTTAGCAGATACACTCACGTCAATACTTCGGTCCATTTCTGAGATTTGGCCAAATCTGAACTATAAGTCAGACAACCCACTGGAAACTTGCTAAAACCTTAAGAAAATAGCAATACCAATAAAAACTAGATTGAAAAGTTTGCAGACAAACTTTAAGTTGGCTTGAAAAAGCCTAGCTAGAAAGTTTAAAAAAAGAAAGAAGGCATAACTTTGATTCTCGCTGTAGTATTGTTGTTACTGCCGCCACCATGTCGTGGAGACGATGTGTGTTTCATTGTGAAAGCGAAACTAATTTGTTTGATCTTCCAAAAGAGGGCACAACTAGAAATCAGTGGTTAAGTTAGGTCACGTCCCAAAACCATTCAAGCTGGCGGTTATTAAGCCTCTTATTAAGAAACCATAACTAGATCCTAGTGAACTGGCAAATTACAGACCCATTTCAAATCATCCGTTTATGTCTAAAATTTTAGATAAACTTGTGTCTGCTCAATTGTGCTCCTTCCTGCAAAGAAATGATCTCTATGAAGAATTTCAGTCAGGTTTCAGGCCCCACCATAGCACAGAAACTGCACTTGTTAAAATTAAA